TATCTCTCTGAAATATCACTATATCAAATATGTCAGTATATCAAAACCAGAAGTTTAGGCACTAGCCATGGCCTTCATCCAATAAACATATTATCCACAATACAATTCCAAGTCATGCATTTAAACACGGTTTGTATTCATCAAAAACATTTCTGCTAATGGATATCCTTCTGCTATCATTTGTTTCAGTTGTGTTTGTCCAGCCATTTCACAGTCTTTAACACCCCGTTCAATGACTCAGGCACAGAAGCCTGACAGAAGACATTTGTTGGCCTAAAGAATACATTCTCACCTTTACTGTACACGGCGCAGTTGCTCTTCCCATCCTCTGCACTGACCCACATCATGTCCATCAGCCAGCGAGGACCTCCATTCAGTGCCAACGAAACCTGTGACACAAAACACACTTCAGCTTCCTCCACATCAGAACAGACCATCTGATCGACAGCCGTGAACAGCTGATTTCACCCAAAACTTGCTGTTTTTGGGTGTAAAATGCATCAGACGGTCAGTGAACAGACTGTAGACAAGCTATCCAGTGTCTAACTGAGCTTGTTTAAACAACTTCAACCATGCATTCATCATTCCCAAAGGCCATTCCAAAGCTATATCTCCATATATGTGTGTGAGGACGGGGCGAGCAGGCCACACCCCGTCCCGTTTGCCCTCTGAATGGCTGCATTGTTAGAGAGCCTCTGAATGTTTCACCTGATCAGATCTCATCCTTTGGGAGCTTTGGGATCCAGAATGGAGCAGCATGGACTTGGAGACAGAAGAAGCGGATGCTGAGCACTGATCTTTAGACACATTGTGCCCTCTATCACAGCATCACAGCTTCCTCAGACCCACACACTGGGAATTTAAAGAGCTGGCATGGGTTTCAAAAGGATTGACGGAGGATTTGATCTCATAATTGAAAACAGAATGACTGAATTAAATGGATATTTCTGTTAAAATAAAAAAAAGCATGCTCACACAATTGTGTGATATCTGTGATGTTGCTAAATATACTTTTAAATATAATAAAATATATTATATTTTAAAATATATTTAAATATACTTTTATATACTAGCACTTTCTATTCTATTTTAATTCTACTTTATCTATATTTATCTTCTTTCTATTTAAAAAAACAACAACAAAAAACAAACAAACACTAGCTTTGTATTTTTAATATTCTATCTACTTGTTTTTCTTTGTGTTTGTGTGTGTGTGTGTGTGTGT